GCTGAACTAAGGCACAAGATACTGAACTAGAAACTGAAATAGACACAAGCTCTCTGTTCATAGCACTAACCACCTGGGGGAGGGAGGTTTTGCTCTTCTGAAATTTACCTTCACAGATGCTTCAAATCCAACGTGCCCATTCACTCTACAATTGTTTAACTGCAAACTCTAACTCTGACAAGTTTCTTTTAGTGTCACATAACATACTAAGGACTAACTTCTACACAGATTTTGATGTCAAGGTTGCATGTTGCTTTTATGTGTATTTAATCACAGAAATATTGTTTTGCACACTTATTTGTACTATGTTATTTCTTTTAAATAAAAGTGACTAATTTTGCTGTACTGACTGATGATCACAGCCAGAGTTCCTACTGCTGTAGGTTTTGAGGAACAAATATGTAACTGAGGAAGGAGTGGTGGCTGGTGAAGAGGAGAAATGGAATCATATAAATACAGGACAGGAAGGACATGAATTACAGCCTAGGACTTGTACCTGGGTATTTATACAAAAACAAGTCCAACTTCCAGTGCAAACCAGTTCTTTTTCAACAGTCTTTACCACACTGCTCACCAGAGCTGCTGTCCTGAAGCTTCTTACCTTGTAACAGCTGTATTAGTAGAGTGACAGCTGGAAACCACCATCTCTGGAGCACTGTGCACAGGAAAGCATTAGAAACCATTCTCAAGGATGATTTAAATCGATGATTTAAATCCTTTCTCTGATGCAGCTGTTAAGCTGTTTATGATCCAGTCAGCTGTGCTCACTTTAAAGAGCAAGAAAACTACTTTAACTAAAACATTAAGCCTTCTGCATCGTGTTTTGAAGGTTTTACATATCTTAATCTGCTGTCCTCCCAGTAAAGTTATCCTAGAGTTGACCAGACTGTGAGTGTATTTCTTGGTTGATTAGAACTCTACTGAATTTGTAAAACTTCCCTGTTCTAGCACGACAGTGAGAATGAAAATAACACTCACTACACATGCAGACAATAGTTCTGTACTACTGCTGGGAACCATGAGTACCTAAATATACTTAATCTCCAGTTCCTCCTCCTTGTACTACTTGCAATCCTTCTCTTTAAGTATATAGGCTAGTTTACAGGGATCAAAAATTAGATAAAACAGTGAATCTTCCCACCTGGTGTTGGCTCCAAGTTGCTCTCCCAGTACTTCATCGCATTGCTTTCTGCTGTGCTGTGTCATGTAGGGAATTTTAACAAAAATTTGCATTAAGTGGGACAGTGGATAAACACACCTCTAGAGAAAAATGCAATAGTATTTCAGTAACTTTTTTTAGAAAAATAAATAGCACTTTAAGTATTTGATAGACCACGTACCCACCATGTTGATTTATTTCTGATCCTGCGTGGCTGTAGTGACCATTCAGGCTGTGAAGCTGCCTTGTGGTATAGGACAGAACACTCACCCACATTTTGGGCCTTACACCAAACCTGTCTTCCTGGGTGGGATGTTAAAGAATCGCTTTCCTCAGAGAGGGGCTTTTACTTCAGAAGACAAGTTGTAAAAGCCCAGAATAAGCAACCAGTCACCTTTTGAACCATACCCCTGCTCTGTGTGAGGCTTGTGGAGGAAAAGGGGGGCAAGGCAAGCTGTCAGAAGTCTGCTGTATGTGACAAAAGAGGATTAAATAGATTTTAAAGTGTCAAGTTGTTAGCTTAAGATGAGAAGTACAGTCCAGATGTCCAATAGCATTTATTCCTTTAAGTACAGTTGTCTTAATGCTTATCTAGAAGCCCCGCTCAGCAGCGCCCTGCTGACTGCAGGGGAAACAGGCCAGTGGTGCAGGCTGCATTAGCTGTGAGGAAATGGCAGAATTGGGACAGTAAGTCTAAAATATTACTATTACTGAAAAATCAATGTATTTTCACTGCCATCAGCTATTTAAGTATACAGATTAATAGTTTCTTTTGTATTTAAAAATAACTACCTATTTTGCTGTCTTTTGCTCCCACACCCGTGTCACAGCTCCAAATCATGAAAGGAAAAGGGAAAGATTAGCCAGTGCAATAAATTCAACAGTAATTCCAGGTATTTTCCAGCAGGAGCCACAGAATAAGAGTATTTCTTTCAGAATCTTCAAGCATTCACATTAAAGCAGAAAACACAAGATTAATTGGTAAAATCAGAAAATGCGAGACAGGACGAGTTCTTACATCTGTAGGCCAAAGGGGCTGTGGCAGCCACTGGTGACCTAAATCCACGGGCTCCAGAACAACGTGTGCTTCAGAGAGTCTGGCTTTGGAGTCACGCTCTGGTGAATCTACCTTTTCCTTATTAAGGCATTTCAATGCCCACATTTTACTGCATTTTTTCCTCCTTCTTCCCCAAAGGTATTTGTTTCAACAAGCTGATGACTCTGTTCTGGTCTGTAAGAGATCCTGTGGAACTTCACACAATAGTCCATTAATAGCTTATGCTCTTGTTCAGCTTCAAATACTGCAGCTCGTGACTTTCGCAGCCCTCCTTTTCGATTTCTCCCCAACTCTCAAAAGTATTGACATGAAAACCAGACCCAGCTTTCTGGTATTTTTCTAGTACTTTAGACAAAAGCATTTCCCCAACTCTGATGAGAAACAAAAAGAATGTAACTAATGCATAAGAAGATCAGAAACCAAACCACCATTAATGAAAATTATTCCAGAAAGTGCATGTCTCGTTAAACTTATTTAAAAAAATATTAATCTATCTGTTAGTATGGCAGCCTGTGGCAAATTAAGACATTTGTGGCCAACTTGGTTTTGAAGTCAAATCACTGAACTAATGCAAATCCTTGGCTACGTACCTGAAATCAGCCCCAAATACCAGCACAAGTTCTAGAAGAATGAGAGTCTTCAATTAAAAAAAAATAAAAAATTCTTAATTCCAAGTCTGGCTTGATTAATAGTTAGGAAAGAAAACAAGCAGAAGGAGAAACAGGAGTAAAACTTGTTTTCAACTGCCAGTCCACAAATCAGATCAAGGAGAACCTGATGGTTAAAAGCAACCCATGTCCTTACTAACTTCAGACATTCCGTTTATCATTTAATTTTGTGTCAGACACAATGTAGGATTCTTAGTGTGAACGTTCAACTATATAGTTAGACAGGTGTGTAGAGAGGGGTCAGTCAGGTTAGTAAAAAGCAGCACTCAATTTAGTATAAATTATAGACTTCAGATGAGTATCTATCACACACACACACACACACACATATATATATATATATAAAATTAAGAGATCCTGTATTAATGACCACTAGCCACTCAAAATTTACCATTTGGGAGAAATTAAGATACAAAACATAGAGCTGAACAGAGAATGTTGAAACCTCAAGTTCCACTTTTGGATTTAAGTAATTATAAAACCCAACACTTTAAAATGAACCTGTATTGTAACAACCATACAAGTAACAGCAAAGTTTTCCCAGTTTTGCCTCCTGTACAACAATTTGTACTGGGAAGTGGTTTTTGAAGGTGAAGTGCCTTTGCGGGTATCTTTTGGGATTAGCATGGTGGAGGTATTTACCTAAATGAGCACAATTAAAAATGGTGTAGTACAGACTGCTACTGCTGTGGTAAATACGTTGCAGTGTGGGAAGCAGGGAGGCAGCAGCTCAGAACTGAGGCTGATGTTGATCAAAAAGAATGAGTCTTTCACACCGCTCCATCCACAGCTCCCTGTTTACAAGAGACAGGGTCACTTTGCTGGATCGTAAAACACCCCACAGCTGCTCTTACTGCCAGCGAGGGCAGAACTGTTGTCTCCAAAGGCAAGAACATCCCACTGCCCAGGAGACGGTGCTGCCGCCTCCCCAAACCTGCCGGGACACAGGGCCACTGCCACACGCAGCTGGATCACAAAGCTGGTCCAAGGACAGGGAGAGGGACCTCATGCAGGGAGGAGAGAACACACCGGCAGTGGAGATGGACACTTCTGTCACTAGAAGCAAACGCATGCTTAGGTCTTCCGTGGGTTGGAATTCTGAGTCTTTTTCAACATAATTTTAGAGATTACACAGAAGCTGACTTAACAGAACTAGCACTGAACAGGCAGCCTAAAGGCAAGGAGGAGCACAAAAGGCAATAACACCACGCACCATAAAACACACCAGGTAACTGGAAAGGTTACATCAATTCCTAAAGACGGGTCAAATCTCTCTGTACATGAAACACGTGAAGAAAATTTCCATTTGCAAAAGAAAGATGATATTGACTGTGGGAGTCCAGGAGGATGGGCACGTAAAACCAATTTCAGAAAGGTCATGAGCAGAAGCAGCAGAAGCAGCAGTGTGACAGGAGCCTCATTCAGCCTTTGCTATTATGTGGTAACCGTCACTGTCTTAGTAGTGGGAGGCACATAAATATGTAGACAAAGCAGGAGACGGTTTTGTTTCAATTACCCAACGAGTCAATTTAGCAAGGCCTGACAGGTAGGACCGAGAAGTCTGCATTAGTCAGGAGCACTGGAGATTGTCCTGCATGAGCGTTCTTCAGCATCACCACCAGCATGGATAAGCACACGTTATTTTTATGTAAGACCAGAAGCAGTTTTCTCACATTGCACAGCTTTTTCAAAGGGTTTATCTCTGTTGTCTGAACAAAGGTGTGTTCTTGTGCCAAATTCCACAGGCACCAAAAGGTGTAAAGCAGCACCATGTGAGAGAATCGGGACCCAGACCACATTCTCATCTCCCCCTCTGCCCGGGAGGACATCCCGTTCAGCATGCCTACCGGTAACAGATAAGAAGCATCACCTTGGCTTGTTTGGTCCGATACCATTTCCTGTGGCACTGCCAACATAAATTGGATTAATCACCCCAAAACATACATAAATATTTCAAACACTCTTAGTAATTTCAACTTAGTTAATTTGCTGAATAAAATTTAATTTTATTTAAAAAAATCTTATACACTATTATTCATCTAGCCCTAGTTGTGAACAGATTCTCACTTCTGAAAATAAACCACATTCTAGTCAATTCATTCAACACCAAATTAAATTACTAGTACTGGATTTTTTTTTTTTTCTTAAAAAAAGTATGTTAAAACTTTCCTTTTTTATTTTTAAAACCTCTAAAGAAAATGTTGCAATTTTACAGAAATGTTTCTTTTCAGGTTATGCTTTTTTTTAAATGCCTCTTATAAATTCAGCTTGTGTAGAGGTTTTTTTTTCATAGTTTTTTAATATGTATTATCTGCAGAGACATTGTAACAGTTCCATCTTGTGGATGAACACAAAACTTGTACAGATTTCTCATATTTGGTCTTTAGGTAAATAGTTCCCAAAAGCTGCCTAAATAAACCATTCCAAACTGTTCAGTCCATCATGAAAATACAGTTTTTCCTTTTTTAGTGGGAAAGCAAATATAAATAATGCATCATTATTACAGAAAATGACAAAAATCAGATTCAAATTAAGCCAACTATCTAGCTTTCACTCACCTTACTGCATGAGGAAGTAAGACATTGTGTGAATCAAAGACTGAACAGCAGCCTTCCATTTAAATTTAATTTTGAAATGTAAAGTGGAATCTATTACCACAATTAAAGTGAGAAATTACCAATACATTTTAAAATGTTCAACTGCAGAACACACACTTAAAAAAAATCATAATAATAATATGGTAGCCACTGTTAGAAAACTACAACAGCTACTCTTAATGGCGACCTTAAAAGGTCAGTGTATGACATCAAAAGTGTTAAGGAGAAACTGGTCAGATTAATTTCTACTGATGGGTGCTTAAGCTTAAAAATATCGAATATATCTCTGACACGATAATTTTACTCTCTTTTTAAAAGGACTCGTGATAAAGAATTTCATCTTTCTAAATGAAGAACAGTCTGTTATCTTAAACATACACAATATTAAGCGAGACTCTTGTTTTACTTTAGACTGGAAAAATATGCCAGGGACAGTCAAAGTCAACACAAAGTAACAAACAGCAAAAGGTAGCAGAAAGAGAAACAGGTAAGTGCAGCTCTGGTCAAATTCATAGCAGTTCTTTACGTCAGTTAACGGCTCATTTACATTGTAATTTCTAATCAGTTACATGCAAGCCCAAAGAAGCATTTGATCACTACACATGGTAATAAAATTTGATTAAATTTATCAGGCAACTGCTAAAATATGAAAATTTGCAGATGTAATAAAGTAGCTTTATCTGAACTTTAACAGGACAGACAAAAGTAAATCATTCCATTGGTTAAAAAAACCCTACATTCAGTTTTTTACCAAACAAAATTTCACATGAAAAGTATTGTGTGATTCCAAAGTTTCCGGAGTAGAAATGGAGTGATTTGAAATGTCAAAGACCCCATTATTTTGCAAAGAAATGAAAATACACCTCAAAAATTTCTAATTCCACATGTGAACAACAAAATACTGCATATCTACCAACAACTGCATCGGGTAGGTCATTATGAAAGGCTAGCTGCCAAGATGTAGGAAATGGCTCCTTGCCTCTGTTCCCTTTAAGGAATATACAATCGTTTGAAACCAGTTCACACTAAGCGCTTATCATGCTGCCGTTACACTGAGATACTCAGTCCTTAAAATAATCTGATAAAGATTTTTTTTTAAAGCTGCAGCCCTCCCCAACACTGTATTTCTCAGCGTACACAGTTCAGTAGGGGGCAGGGAGGAACGGGGGTCACAGCCTCTGGAACAAGATGTTTTGCAGTTTGACTTTAAATTACCAAGTTTTAAGGCCACCTGTGTTGGTTTATGTTTTTTTTTTTTTTTCAGTGCTGAAAGTTGAAGTCTGATCACAGGGCCCCTTTCCCCACTGCGTGAGAACATGTTCCAACATTTTAGGTGTTATATTTAAGTGTCTCCTTTTGGCACCATGGAGTTTATTTATTTATTTATTTATTTATTAAAAAAGAAAACTCCCCTAAGTTTCTAGTTCTGGCTGCCTTTATCACTCACTGCCACCGGCGGGGGGTCCACGTTAACAGCTATGACTATGCTCTCTCCATCTTCTGTTTTGATACGTTTGAGTTCCTGCTGTTCTGACTGGTCTCCGTTCTGGCGCTTTGTTGGAAGCGATGCTGATGCGGATGCATGGGTTGCTAACATATGCAAAGGACTCGCAGCAGCTGTAAAAAGATAATAAAAACTTCAGTACCCCTAATCCTTGTCAAAACAGATGATTCTGAAAGCAAACGTGCATTTTCATTAAAATTATTAATTCCTTTATTGGTACTATGCGGGGTATTAGCAATCCCAGCTGAGATTCAGCTTCAATTGTTTAATCTTTGCACAAACCTGAAGGATGTTTTCCCAAATCACTCAACATTCATGCAGATTTGGACAAAGGTGGGAGAACGGGGAAGTATCTCCATTTTGTCAATGGAGAGCTGAAGACAGAGAAGGATTAAATGACTGGAAGCCAATCTACAGCAAAATTTGTGACAGAAATGGGAAGTGAATTCAAAATCCCCTTTCAGTAGGTTCAGGCCATGTCTATGGATCACTGCAGAACACATTATTTGGCCTGGAAGAAGAGCATCACCTCCTCTGTGGCCATAAGTTATTTAAGAGAAGCTATGTGATTTGCACAGCCACGAGATGTACATGACTCCAGTAGCAATTCCTCTCTGACAGGTAACGAAGCATTTGCCCACGCTGTAAGGAACAGGCAGTGCTTTAACAAGTGGCAGTGTTAAGAAATGACGCATTTGATTAGATTCAAGTGCACAACTTAATTAGATCAACAGAAATATATATCATTCAAACACTATATACAAGATTTTAACCTTTCTTGTTCCATGGAAGAGAGAGTACAAGCTACCATTAACAGGGGAATACAGAGCTTTCAAACTTCTGAGACATCCAAAGGTTCCTTCCCTCTACCTGTCAGCAGTCTGTTTCTCAATATTGACTCTGACTTTATGACACCAACAATTCAAATGTCTTTGCAAATAATGCAAGATATATATTTACTTGTTCAGTGCATTTCAGGAAAATTTATCTAGACACTATCAAATAATCTGCCTTTTTTTGTTGGTTTTGTTTTGTTTGTTTAACACACAAGCTCTCTTTCTTCAGCACCACTGCTTGCTGACATCATTACAGCATCCCCTGCTAGTGGAGCTTAAACATGAAGTCCATAAGGAATTCTTAACTTGCTAAACTTGTTATATTTGCTGTCCTAGAGAATACCTGGAATATTACCTCTGCATATAACCAAACTGTTTTGTAATTAGTATTTACTGGTATAACAAATATTTCAGAAAATATTTACCTGATGCAAAAAGCTTCACTGCAATTGTAAAATTATTTGTTCTTGTACCTCAACAGTCATTCGGCTTCTATTAGAAAAGCTATTCCTTGCACAATTTCTGAACAGATGCTACAGAGATAGTTACTTCTGAATAAAATGCCTTACTGCAAATTTATTGTTGCCTAAATAAAACCAAGAAGTTTACCCCTCATCTTCAAACATACATTAAGACTATTACTGCATTATTCACTCCAGGGTCTGTTTGGTTGCAGCCACAACTGATAGTGGAAGTATGAAATACACAAAAGAACAATGATATTTGAAATCTACACTGAAAGTCAAAATAAAAGAGTATCTAGTTACATAATTTTATCCTGCAATAAGAGACCTGAATTTATTTTGGACTTCACAGCTTTCAGTTAGACTGACAGGTAGTAAAAAACTCTGCCAAAATGGTTTTGCTGTCAGTAAGATGTGAAAGCACCTTCTTACTACAAACAGAAAATGTTAGCAGAGCAGCAGCAGCTCTGGATTTCTGAGCTTTCAGATTGCACAAATCTTCTTTCTCCAAAGGCAGAGATAAACACACGCACACAAATGTGTAAATACAGATGTATGCCTGTGAACACAAATGTATGTAGAGAGAGAGACCAGGACATGGAATACACCTCACTTGCCATTCAAAATATGAACATCTCATGAGGTATTTAAGCCGAGGAATCTCAGAGTGAAAACTCCCATCACTGCAAGCGCACAGTGAAACAGTGAGAAGCACCACAATTCCACTCCTACGTTCAGCCACGTTTCTGAAATGTGCCTAATGGCCATTAGGCCTCTCTACCAAGGAAAACATGTTGAAATCAGTTGAGTTTTCAGGAAAAAGAAAAAAAGGATTATTTCTTACTTTTAAAAAGTAACTTTTCAGTATATTTGACTGACAAAAAACATGCATATGAAGTCTGACAGTGATTGCTTTTGCTTTACTTAAGCTGGAAATGAAGTGGAAGCAGACAGAACCCTAACCTATAAACGTCAGTGATGGCAGAAGAGTAAAAAGGAAACGAAGCAGATAATTCACTCCATTAGTAAGACTTTAGAGCAGAATTGCAGGTAATAAATTGATGTAAGACAGCCTAAAACAATTTCTATAAACATATTTTATGACAAGAAAGCTCTTTCAGTATCAGATAATATCTCAAAGTGAAACTGTCAGAACAAGCAGTATGCACCTGCAAAGCAAAACAAAACTGAGCGTTCTGTGCGTAAGTGTAAATATATGAAAATTATGAAAAAGTACTGCTACCCACTCAGACTGCTGAGTCTGAGAGGGGAAAGATGGTATTCAGATAAGAAGAACCTAAAATTGTTACAGAATTTTTGTCATTTTTAATACAGGTTCATTAAAAACTGAATAAAAAGTAACAGTTCAAAAAGCCAACCCACAAGCAAGTTCTGTCTTGTTTTCCTGTTGGTTGGTTCTTGACAAATCATCTGGGGAGCAGCTACCATTTTAATGGCAATGTTTTACAGGAACTTCTTTTAAAACTTGTTTATATCCTGGGTTTAATGAGGAGGGAGGATGGGTTGTCACCACTAAGTACATCCCTATAATAATCACAAAGAGAATGAATAGCTCTTCAGGTAATAGTCAATGAAAAGAAACACTTGTTCTTAGCAACAGGGAGGGAACAATCCCTTACAAGGCTGTAATCTCTATTTTTTTGTAGAACTTAGTTTTCAGTATAACTACAAAAGACATAAGAACAGAATTAAAAAATTCAGTACTGGTCATGCTGAGGTGTTAACACATACAAAGCAACAGAACATCTTGACACAATACGTACCGGCGTTGCCCTGTCCTTGTATTGCAGTGGTGATGGGTACTATGTGCGTTCCGTTCTGCGTTACAGTTTTTATAGGTAGCTGGTGTTGACCTAGAGGTGCCTGTTGCACTATAGTAACTGTCTGTAAGGGTGTGGTCTGAGATGTCTGAATGATACGACTAGCAGCTCCTATTGTAGCATGACTAATAGCAGGTATAGGCTCCACTTTAACTGAAAAACAGAAGATAGAACCATTTGTTTTTACTCAATTAAACCTCAGTATACTGCTTTATTACTACTCCAACATATGTAAGAAATCCAACATCTTCAGTTTTACCCAAACATTTCATGCATTCATCTGGATGTAAGTTTCAAATAGGAATACTTCTTTGTAATCAAAACAACTAACCCCACAGATTCTCACCTTTTACTTCTTTGTGGTCTCCATTCTCTTGAGGTTCTACCTTGGGCTGGGTTACCATTGCAGCTTGCGTGACTACTGCCTGTCCAGCTACAGTGTAAGTGTTTGCTGGTGCTAATCCAGTCACATTTGTGACAGACACAGCTGGTATCTGGTGGACAACATGTACTGTCTGAACTACAGGCTGCTGGGATGTTGATGTTGTCACAGGAGTTGCAACAGTGTAGGTGACGGGTTTAATAGTTTGTGGTAGCTGCCGTTGTACAGTAATTAAAACTGGTTGGCTAGATAGAGGTGATCCTACCAAGAAAGAGACAAAAATTAGGCTGCCAATTTTAATTATTTCTTTTAAGCCAGTCTTTCTTTTAAACTTAACTCTACAGCCTCAGAGGATTAACGACCTTTTTCACTAATTTCTGAATGATCCAAGAGATAAAAGTGGACAATGAAGACTATGACACATCGCTATTCCAAGCCACATAGTCAAGGTAAGTGCTGTATTAGCTCAGTAAGACCCACACACCATTTGGGCAAAAGCACCCCCCCACCTCCCCCCAAATACAGCTATCCTAGCAAAGCTATGTTTGACACTCATTTAGTAAAACTCCTTTCCATAGATGGGAACATATATGTGCTTCAGGTGTTGTGTGGAGCACGCCTGCATTGGCAAAACTCTCAGCTTCCTAGGCTGTGGAAAGCCTGGTGTCTCTGCTTAGGACCACGTTTGCCTTTGCCACAGAATGGTCACTGGCACCTGTAGTACTAGAATATCACCAAGAAAATGGATGGCAAAAGTATATGAGCCAAGGTGATTAAACAATTACATCCTTATCTCATCATGCCTTATACCCTTTTTTTTTTTTTTAATAGGAAAATTCCTATCAGGCAAATTTTTTCTTTCTCTCTTTATCATTTCAATTCTTTATCCCCACCTTTGAAAGGATGACAGGACCATAGATGTGTGCAAGACATTCACTTATTTCTTATAACTCATGTAAACTAAAGTTCTTGAGTTTTTCTCTAAACCAGAAAGAATACATATTGAAAGGAGGTGACAACTGTTACAAGACCGTACAGTCCTATACAGGACTGAAGCAAAATATCTGCTTAGTAGCAAAGTGATCAAGGGTGCTGGAAGAGCACACAGGTAACAGCCTGTAAGCATGCAAACCGAATTCACCTGGCACGTTTATGTGTTTACCAAAGATTTGCTCTAAATGTTAAGAGGTTAAATATTTACCTCTTTTTTTTTGTGTATGTGTACATGTGAAGTCTTGGTAATATTTATATATCAGCCCTCTCCCACCTCCAACCCCCAAACGCTTACTTCAGGATTCCTCACCTGGGGCACTCTGTGCAAATCGTGCTTCTTGTATTACCGCTAGTTTTGGCTGGACAGCACTAGGCTCAGGTTCCATTGGGACTGGAGATCCTTCCCTGGACAGACTCTCGGGGGTCTGGACTCCACTGGAGTGCGCAGACAATACTCCAGAGTGATTAGGAGAAGCTGGGGCACTTCTGTATTTAAAAATGAAAGCAGTAGCTGATGTGTTTTAACTTCTGAACTGTGAAAGACAGTGACCACCTTCTAAAGAGACCATAACACACACTGCCCACAGGAGGGCACCTCTGCCTTCCAGCAAGGACAGATACAACCCAAAGCAGTTCTGATGATCTTTTATAGAGCTTCTGTTAAATACAGATAGAATTTAAAAGCAAACTCCAGGTATAGTTAATGGAGAAGAAGTGGCTGGATGCCTTCTTAGGGAGATTCTCTAAATAATCTGTGAAACATGAACGTTTCTTCTCGTGGAGAAGAATGATGAGCAAATCTCAATCTACGTGGCTAGTAATAAAAGATCTGCACCAGCAAAGGCCAGAACTTTACAGAGGGAGTAATTTTAAACCCACTTATTTCCCCATCATGAATTCTGCTTGAATATTATCAAACTAAATACATAATTGTCAGCTCTAAGTTCAATAAAATGGTAGCCGGTATTTGACAATTTCCTTTGCAAACAACTTTAAAATGCAGTAGATGGCAGTTAGACATTAAAATTGTAATTCTGTTAAAAAAAAACAAACAAAAAACCCCAAAAAGCAACACACCAAAGGTCCAGCAAGACTTGCTTACATTAACAATCTGACAGTTAGCTGGGCAAACTGCGTCAGTTCTTTAACACTAAAAACAAGCAATAAAAACAAGCCTAGTGTATGGGGCAGCCTCCTACTAAATGATACAGAATTCAAACACTGAGTCTGGATGAAATGAAATTACTGAACTTGTGACTGTATCCAAAACTATCAAGTCTGTATCAGCCTGAAGATTAAACAACAGCCATAGTCTGTTTTTTCATCTGGTTTTCCTTACCTAGAAGAGAGTGGTCCCAGAGGGGTTCTAAAGCAAGGTACTCCCCTAGGCCGCCTTTTCCTAAAAGCCTGCTCTATTAATTTGCTTTCAGAGGCAGGGTCTATCCTCCAGAATGAGCCTTTGCCTGGTTCTTCCTGGGAACGTGGTACTTTGATGAAATAACGATTCAGAGAGAGATTGTGACGTATTGAATTCTATGGAACATAAAAAAATATGTAGATTTCATATAACTTTTCCAAGTCAGAATGTGGCCTACTGCAGCAGTTTTCAGGGTTCAGCTCCAATTTCTTCATTCAACAGAACTCGAGAGCACTACAAAGGCAGTGCTGTAAACCTGAAAGGACTCTTGCATTTTTCAAATCTTTCCCAACAATTAAAAAAACCAGTATGCTAATGCAGCAATAACAGGAATCCCATTTAATTCTCTAATGAGAAACACAGTGATTGCAACAAACTGTTAGAACACTACAAATACATGAGAATAATGCAGTGTTAAAAAAAAAAAAAAAAGAAAAATTATCAGTCTTTTTACACCACCCTTCCCCAGGTGTCAAAGAAAATGTCAGTTCATTCGAGGAGGGCCAGTAAAATACAGCATATACTGATTCTGATCTTGCAGGATAATCCTGTTACTATTCCACAATACAGAAAGAAAAGGTTAAATTACACAAGTTCCAAATGCAGCTAGATTGTTGGGAGTTCACTCGCAGTCCAGTCTGTCTCAACAAAGGAGACAAGGATTTAGTGTGTCTAGAAAAACAACAAATGGCAGTAGGTCCTAAAACAGCTCTTCAGCAAGACCTTCATTAATGCACTCCAGTTTGCACATTACTTTGTCCTCACTTCGCTGTAACACACAGAACTGTCTGATCAGAGAGATGCAGAAAACTAACACCCTGAAGTGGGTGTATCTATGCTTGGCTTTGCATACTTTTTAGGGTTTTTTTTTAAGATGTATAAACCCAAAATGTCTCTAAATATTATCACTGAACAAGGAGAAAATGAAGAAAAGCATACATACTGAAATTCTTGTGGGGAAGACAGTAAAAATGGAGAAAAAGCTTTACATTAACAAAAGGTCTTCAAAAATTTGCAAAATCAAATGCAAATCCTGCTCAAATGTCTAAGTTCACGGCCCTGATGGCAAGTTTGGAAAACTTAAAGCAATGATAACCATGTATGGTTTCTTAAATGCAAACTGCTGAAACCAGAAATGATTTTCCCTGCCAAAAAATTGAAACAGAACTAGAGAGATGCCAAGAACATGTTTATAAATTGTATTTATTTCTCCACATGCCAGAATAAAAGAGTAGATCTGAAAGTACCTGTTAAAATAAGTTCATGAAGAGGAGCATTCAAGTCCTCAACAAAATGAGACCTTTTATAATAAAGGATATAAATACCTCAATACTACTTATTAAGGTATAGGATTTGGATACTATATACATGTATGTACGCTATGTTTTGAATCATATGTGCATATATAACCTCTAATACAATTTAAAATATCTGTAAGTCACCCTAACTGTAATCCAATACCTGATGGACAAAAGCTAACAGAGCAATTCATACACGAGGTACTCCTGTTAGTGTTACAGCAGTGCTTTATATGACTAATGAGCATCTGATTTTCCAGTTATTTTTATGAATAGGTGCTAATCAATTATTCCAGAACATACTATGTCTGCTGTGTCTATCACCTTCATTTTGTGAAGTATTATACATCTAAATACATACACTGTTCTGAGGCAGAATACTTTAACCATGCATTACAATGTATGCATGTTTGGTTCCATGATGCTTACCTAAAGAAGTATTATACACGCAGATATTCAAGGTATTTCAGAATAGGAAGCAAAAAGCACACCAACAGGATCTTGTTGCTAAAATAGATCTGTCAGTATGACTGCAGCCATGATTCTGCATTGCTTATGCATGAAAGGGAAACAAAAGAGACTTCCTAAGCCACAACAGCTAAGTCCTTTACTAGCCAAATCATATGCAAAAAGCTAGGAGCAGTTACACTCCCCACTAACCTTGGAATTCCTCTAAGAGTGATTCAACTTTCATACAGCCCTCATGACAAATAAGTATGTGGTTAATATTTTTAGATCTATTCTTCTACTGAGAAGGCATGTATTCTCAAGTATTCTCCTTGTAGAGCAAGGAGAGTATTAACACTTCCTCACTTTTCCCCTCCCCCAGTCTCTCCAAATTTTACTTCCCTGAAAATAACTTCCGAGCACGCCTCTGTGGCAGATCATGACTGCACTAAGCAGCACCACAGTGAAACTGATACTCCAGTGCAGTCTGAATGTTATACGGGCAAACTGGCCAGTCCTGCAAATTGTGCTCTTCTGTCCTCTGCTGAAACTAAAAACAGCAGCAAAGGCACCGAACCTTTATGTGTATCTGGAAAGACTATGCCAGACTGATTCATACTCAGTTCGTCATCCTGGCAAATGCTGAGGTTGGTCTCTTTAAAAATGAAAAGAAAGCAGAAATTAATTCTACAGAATTGAAGGGTCTAGCTCAGTACAGAAACAATTCAGTTCACAAATAGACTACGTTGCACAAATAAAAAAGGGCACATAATAGTGCAAGGTAATGGCAGGTAACACACACTTGTTCCTTCACTGTATTGCATGGTCAAGATCACTGTTTTCAAATAAACCTGAACTTGTAACATTTAATATCTTAATTTTATCTCAAGATAACAATACGGATGTTTACACAATTATAAGTTACAGAACACAACTACACTCCTAGATAGCGTATTTATATTTAAATCCACAGTGCCAATTCTGCTTTTCTTCCCCAGAAGTCTGTATGTATCCCTCCTAGAGGTTTAGAGAATACCATTCCATGAATAAAGCCATGTTTCAAATACTGAATAATGTAAATTGCCTACTTTGTTGGAGAACTTAATCAGGAAAAAAGATAACACACTCATTTAATAAGTTGTATTTATGAAGAGCTGTTAGGCTCACCAACTGATTTCTTATGACCATTTACAGCTGCCAGTATTATTCACAACTGAAAAAAAAAAATTCCAGAAATCAAATTTACCTGCCAGCCCTTGTCTGCTGTCCTGTAGTATGGATAATTTTTAGTTATGTGCGTATAAATTCCGTTTAGTGTAAGCTGCTTATCAGGTGCCATTGTAATTGCTTGTACTATTAACTGTGCATAGGAGTAAGGTGGCTTAGAGTCGTCCTGTACAAGAAAAAAGAAAAGTCTGCATCAATAAACTCCAAAGCTATACACACCTCTTCTTAAATCAGAAGTTACAAAACACAACTTAAATTAAGGCACTTTTGGACGACTAAAATCTTGGGGCAGAAAAGGAATTAAGACAATTTTGCTCTTCTGATTAGCAGATTTAAAGGTAACATTAACAATCTGAAGAAACATACAACAGTAAGGAATTTTTAGTAGCCTATAAACACATATATAACTGAAAATGCATATAGACTCTCTCCTAAAGGGAGCAGATGTAAATAAACAAACAAACAGATAAATCAATCTCACATTTGCTCACAAAAACCTACAAATTGTTTTTGAAGTCTGTAATGTTAAATTATGACTTAGTGCATACACTTTAGCAAACAAAATTTCAGAAGTCTGATATTCACTTAAGACATAACTGATGGAATTGATTTCAAACAATGTTTACCTTTGGGCTATCTCCACCCGATGCTTCCTTGTCATTTTCTGACTGTGAATTGTCAGCCATCAAATGTAGGTCAGATGGTATTACACGACTCATTTTGTACCCTGAAGAGCCTGCACCACGGGGGCTAGATGGGCAGGAATTTGCAGCACTGTAGAGCATAAAAGAAGATCCTACTATTTTGTTATACAGTATATCACCACATTATGCCTAATCAAAAAGCTGCTCTTGCAGAAAAACCCACTACCAGAGCTTCTCGACTACAGTTAAGGGTCTGTCAGTATTTCCATTATAAACCCTATCTTCCAAGCCTTTCTAACTTATCCATGGGAATTAAAATCACTGCAGGAAGAAACCTGTCAAATGAAGCTCAGGCTTTCCTCTTCAAATAAAAAAGGATTAACTGATTTATTATGTTGTACTGTATTTGTAAGATTTGCCAACAGAAAAGTCCACTTTAACTACATAAGCAACCACAAATTTTAAGACACTTATTTGAAACAAGAAACACATCTTGCATGAAATTTCTGCCATATGCTTGCATTCAGTCTGTTCAAAAAAGATCATCTCTCCTGTGCATTATTTTTGCATATTTGAGAAAATATAGCAAGCAGTGAGGAAAAGAAGTTTTGATTCTTATTTAAAACTAAGCCAACATTATTTTAAGTGCTTAAAGGTATGTGCACATACATTCACTCACATATATATGTATAAATATCATAAACTTATCTATAAATAGAATGCATCAGCACCAATTCATTTAATGTAATGCAGTATTAGGCCAACAGAGCAGATACACTGCTGCAAAGCAAAGGACAGTGCCAAACAAAGAAGTGTCTTTTGATACCTCACATTTTGCTATCCATCACAGAAAAACAAAGATTAAATTGTATGTAATTCCACTGTAACATCTTTCTAATGGTTGTACCCCTGCCTTGCACAGTCCACAGCTGCACAAAGCCAGTTTTCTTCTTCAAATTCCATTTAGCCGACGGGAAAGAAGCAGTCAGTGGGTTATGATTGTTCCCTTCCCCAAAAAGATTTTTTTCAGTTCTCTACAAGGATGCATATATCTCAGCAATTCATACTGTAACCGATTTCAACATCGGCTTAGGAAATTCCAAAAAAGTTAACTAAAAATTAGAATAACAAAGCCTGCTGCGCCCCCAGAACCAGTCTTGTCACCAAAGACAATCTTTAACCTAACTTGAATCTATGATTCGAAACACTGAGTAACAAATAAAGCCAGAGAATGTTATTTAGATTGTATAAAGCTTTAACAAATTTACATCTGTCAAGTTTAGTTTGTCTGTCTGGCCTCCCAAGTTTTTTGCTACCTCCCTTTTTATGTACAGAAAAAAGGCATGCACTGTAGAGTGGGCAATAGATATAAAAGAAATATCATTTAAACTTCACATTATGAGAAATCCATCAACAACTTGCTACCAGTAATTGATATACAAAGGCTTAAATTATAAGCCTTAAATTAAAGTTGACTTTTGAGTGAACTTCCCAACCTGTACTACAGTAGCGTGAAATGCGACCATGAGATTCTTTTCCCAACCTGTATCACATCAGCATGAAATAAGACCACGAGGCTTTTCCTCCTACAACCCAAAGCCAGGTACAGAACACCAAAACAGCAGCTTCTCAGACATATCTCGGATCCTGGCCAAATCCAGGATGTGCCCATGTGAAGTGAAACTTACCCACCAGATGTTCCTGTGACTTTCTGTCTGCGTAATGTGTATGTTAGTTTGTATAAAAGCAGGACCCTCTCACAGCAAAGACTGAGACCTTACCCACGGTGGACGCACTGCCTAGGACTTCCCAATTGCTGGGAAAGGTTCTCCAGATCCTTCCCTGTGACAGGGCTCCCAGCTGATGTACACGATGCGGATGACAATAAGTATTGGGGCAACTGGTTGATGTTTCTTTCTTAATCACTATGCTTTCTCTTATGTAGTAACGATCAGGTGCATTACGCGGTTTAACTCTGTACATTGCTTATTCTTCATTTTTCCCTGCTTTAAACTAGAGTAAAATAGGTTTGTTTCTAGAATTAAGTTGGTGTCTGTGTCCTTTCTGCCAGCCCTGTCAATTGGCAAAACAGTGATACACCATACAAGGGAGACTGGATTTTTAAAGTGTTGTATGGAAGAATCCTTGATTAGAGACAAAACATGTAACTAATTTATTTTTTTAAATATAGGTCACTGCTGTTCTATGTTTTTACATTTCAACTGACAACATCCCTCTACTGTGCTCGCTTTAGCATATATTGACAAAGCGACACATATGGTATAATCAAAGCAAGTTTACAAGTCTTCTACAAAACAGGATGATTTGAAGAGAAACTGTCAAGCTTTGCTCTCAAAATAGACTCAAAACTGTTGTCTTTTTTTTTTTAATAATAAACTATACTCAACAGGTGCATGAAAGCCCTGACAAGAATTACCAAATTCATAGTGAGGCAAAGACTCTGGTGATATATGTGATATTATCTGAAATATTTATGAGCTGTTCTGTCATTTCTTGGGCAAGGTATGTTTTTCCTGCATTTTAACAAGAAAGCAAACCTGTTAGACAGCCAAGACTAGATCTCTCTTCTCTTTACTTCCACCATTTATATATAGATCTCATTAAACATTACAATATTGAGATCAAGAACCTGGCAAGCATTAAAGAAGTCAATTATCCTTTCATTCAAATTTCATTAACAAGATCTACATTTTAAAAAATCAAGTGTTAACAGTCTTTCACTCAAGTGAAGATACAGGAAGTGAGAGGGCAAGAAAAAACTTTCAAAAGCATGTATGTGACTTTGAAACGCAACTTTTAGTGCCTTTAAATGAAATTTTTGCTTCTGAACTTTCTATGAATTTTAAAAATTGTATCTAAATTAATGGTACCAGTTTGCCAGGACAGCTTGCTTATGTTAATTTAATTGAGTCTGGTCCCAAAAAACAATGGCTACAATTATTAAGTTAAGCAGCACAGCAAGTAAAGAACTCAGATTAACCTCCCCTGCAGAAGGCTTCTCTACACTAAACTCTGCACCTTACATGGCATTTTAAGTAAAACACCTGTTTACTTCCAGCAGTGACTAATCCATAACAAATCTTCTGGAGTAAGAGATCAATCTACTTTCCACACTAATGCCGATTATAAACTTCAAGGGGACAGTGACTATCAGAATGTTTAAAAATGGTATAATTTAGACTTACCTCATTTAAAGTGTTGCCATAAGCACGCAAGAGTAAAAAACAATCTAAATAATCTGGAATGCAAGACAAAGGTATGTTCCTTTGCTGTTCTAAGAATGTCAGGCTCCTGAGCAAACTGTTACACATTTAACATGTTAAATTTTAATATTAAAGGCTGTTCATGCAACTATCTTATTAGTTAGCAGAATGGTGGTTTCCTCCAAGGCAGGTAATGTTGAGCTTCAACTAAACTTCTACCACAAAAAAAAAAAACCCAAACAAACCTTAAAATGAATGAGAGAGTTGTCTGAAGTCTATAACCATACACTGCCCTATATCCAAGCTGCAGGGTTTAAATACCTGATAGTTCCTGTGGGAGAAGGGAGAGGGCTGATCAGGTGAGCCATGTTGTCTGGAATGTTTATTGTTAAGGGAGAGATCTGGGGTTGCACAGGCTTCACTGGGGACTCCGGGGCCTCCTGTTTTTCTCTCTTTTCATTGGACAGAGCTGTGAATGTTATCTTGATGTTTGTGCTGGGAAACCTGAATGTACAGCTGAAAAGTAAAAAACAAATATATAAGCCACTTGTTTACCGAATGTAAGGTTTTCTGTATAACTTGAACATATCATCTAACCTTACTTAAAAACAAAAAGGTACAGTATCTTATTTAATTACCTGTAACTATCTTCATTTTACAGATCATACAGAAAGATCAGTGTGACTAGAAAAAGATCCCCAAGTAAGCAGCTTTAAAATTTGGAAAGAAATATAAATAAGCAAATGCAATTCTTTGTAACAAGGGCAGTTTATGTGTTGTCTCTAAATTTCTTAAGGTTCACCCTGATCTTGCAACTACCCCTAAAAGAAGTACTATTTTGAAGACAAAAGGCTATTTTATGATGCCAAAGAATGGCTTTGGCAAACACACGAGTAGATCCATGATATCAAAGTTAATCAGGAGCGTAAATGTTGGCCAGTTTGAGGTTACCCAATTTCATAGACTGGTCTTAGATTTGGTTTCTTTTCTCTTATTAAATGAAACACATGTCAATCCTAATTCTGATCATTTCCAGAGTGTATTGCTGTTATAGCACTACACTCAAGTATCTTTTTTCAGAGCTGAATTTAAGAGCCAATTTTAGCAAGCTGCCCATTTTCATATATTTCCAAAGACTGCATGCCCAAATTTAAAGACTAATGATAAATGAGCAATGTGCAATTGTTTAAAAAAAATTGGAAAATAAAATATAATTAACAGACTTCTGAGTATTTTCCTTTTTACAGTTCTGTATATAGCATTTAGAAGTTAAACCAATTACATAGAACAGGCTATTTGTAAGTTCTCAATAAACAAACACATTGAGCAAACAAGAAACTTAATTTTCTCTCAACAAAAGCATCTATAACAAAAACACAGTTCAAATAACTTTATCTCCTCTTTCTAAAGCTGTTAGACTATACAGCACTAAACCCACATATTTACACACCTCTTCCACAGGATGAAAAGGACTTTCCAATGACACAGTACCCAGAATCAAACCTTAGAAAATGTTGAGGTTTTTTTAAGTGATTCTAGGTAGATCTAGTTTTATAAAGAAAGGAAACACCATGCTGGAACAGGCCTGAGAAATGCAGCTATGAATGCAAGATACCAACTGTAAACAAAAGTAATCATTTATCTGGAAAATATATTAAACATAAAAGTGACACAAGAATTGGAAGGAACACTCAGCTGTGGTGTAGCTTTAAAAACAGGAGCTCTTGTGCTTTGGTTTTTGTATCTTAAAATTAATCCAAGGGTGTCTATAGAACAAAGGCAACATTTGATTTTCACTACGTTTCTTGTCACATGCACCACAGTGATTCTTTTTTCCTACAATACACACCCGAGGATCAGGAAAAAGAGAAAGAATTGACAATGACCTTCCTTTTCTCTCAGTCTTACTTCTCAGTATGGACCACGTCTGAATTTAAAAGACGACCTATTTCTGAAACATGCTTAATGTACTAAATTAGGAACAGAATCTATGCCAAAAAACTGCACATGCACTTCAGCAAGAAAGTTAAATGGACCGATTTCTGGGTTGCTTTGCTGGGTTTTTTAAATATCTTCAGTAACAACTCACTTATTTGCTTTTTCCAGTAGCAAGTATTTTTTGCCCATATTGTTTTAGTGACAATTGAAAGAGGTCTCAGCTGTTTTGCTAATGAAAATGTTTTCTAAACATTTTGGTTGAGCAGCAATAATGACAACAGTACTCCTCAAGTGTATGCAAAGAGGGTAGCCAAAGGCAACCTTTGTGCTAAAGATTAAATAAAAATCCCTGTGAGAAAGTGAACAACAACATCTGTTTGACACAGAGAAAGGCTTAAATTTTAGTTACCTAAAGAAGCTATTCCATACCTGTAAATTTAACTTAATGCTTTTCAGACCAAAATTATTTCAACTTAAGACAGACATGGGAACAACCATGTTTTTGCTTTTGCAAAGAAAAGGTAAGAGCAGCTTACTCAGGTAAGACAAAAACACAGATTTCAAAGTACAGCAGAGACATGGCGCTCTCAAAGCCACTCAAGTTCAGAAAACAAACAAACCACTCCCAAAACAGGAGCTTTGATTTATCAGAAGTACTGTATAGGTTATAAATGTGCCAGACAAACTCAGAACTTATAGTCAGGAACTATATTAAAACCTAAAGGTGTTACTTTTACAGTTTACAACATTTCACACACTGAGCCTGAAAGGATGGCGTTGTTAAGGAAGACACAATATACTTACAAATCACTATCTGGTGAGAACATGCACCTGTGTATCATCAAAAGACCACATCTGTCAATTGATTCATATTTGGAAACAGTTTTTTAATAGAAGTATATTTTTTATAGCTGGAATTCAGAAAAAAAAAAAAAAAAAAAAAAAAAGCAGAATAGTGCCTATTAAGCAACAGATTTCCTGAATAAATTGCATTAACGCAAATCTATTACATTTACTTCCAAAATCAAAGTAAGGAACATGTTCTAATTTGATCAGAATGAAGTTGGTTTTGGCATATTCTTCAGTTATACAATAAACTAAACAAAAACCACAGCACACCCAGAGGGAGAGAGCTGGTCAAACGTTTAACCTACAGCAAGCTGAATTTCATTTTACTCACTGTTTAAAGTGTTTACAATAGTTTCATGATGTGCTACCACAGGATGATTGCTATAGAAGAAACTTATCTATACAACCCACTTAAAAAAAGAAAGAAAGAGAAAAGAGTAGTTTCACAGGCTGCCACTCTGCACCTCATCTACTCAACTAACTACCGCTCTTCTTTTATAGGGCGACACCATTCAGAGTAGGAAATCAAAGAGACACCAAGATCGATCCAACAGATTCCTAAAAACAAACATTCACAAAACATCCATGTTTCTGAACAGTTCTATGATGAAAAGTGTGCTAAGTATCTAAGTGACTGAAAACAAATATCACTATTTAACTGACGTGCTGGCATTGTGTTTTATATATTTCAAACAACTATTCACAGCACCCACACTTCAATAATTTTGTACACTTATTGACTACGACGAGCACTTGCCTTGTGCTTTCTACAGAGCATCACAAGGGAGGGCAGACTGTGGAAACTCCAACAGAGGTGTCACAACTAAATGCAACTCATGACTCTAATTATTCTTAAAAAAATAATAATTTAAAAAATCATTCTGGGTTGACTACTGGAAAACAGACAAGAAGCATCAAGTCATTTCAAATTATTCCCTACAAAACTCTCACTAACCCTATAGTTCCCAGCAAGAGAGACGTGCTGATCCAGGCACTCTCTCTACAGCATTCAGCAGCTTTGTAGGGTGCCAGGTAAGTGTCTTGTGGGAAAATGTGCAAAGTTTAGTTTTGTCACATCTGTATTTCTAATACTTTCTCACTTCCTCTCAGTGATTCTGTCTGTACTGCAGGGAAAAGCTAATTATATGAAAGTATATATATGAAAGTACTATCCGATTGAAAATGAGGAATTCCATCCTGTCTCTATCTGGGGAATCAAAACACAGAAGTAGAAATTCAGTTTCCTCCCTGTACCTAAACCCTGCTATGACACTCAGTGCCTCAGTATCCTTGGAATCATCCTGTTTTAATTGCCTTTTAAGAACCAGGACAGAAATTGGACAGAAGCTGCCATCCTACTGTTCTTTTATTGGCGCCTCCAGATTTTACAGTCAAATAGATTATAGAGGTTCGGCCCTAATAGCTCCCTAAGTCATGGGAGTTAAAGCTGTATAGTTAAATTCTTCTACACTGACTAGGACACTGAACACCAGTTAACTTAAGGATCCCCCTACATTTTAAACAGATCTGAAAGAATAACAAGGGGAGAGTTTTCAAACTCTTCTTGATTCACTGAGAGGCAAGAATAGTTTCAACTTTTTAGATTAAAAAGCTAAGACCCACAAAAAAGAACCTAGTCAGCATATGGGAGATTGCTTTTGTTGATTTTTTACCTCACATACTTTAAATGCAAGTGTGGGCAACAGTGTATGTAACTCACCTCAAAGAGAAACAACACCTGTACCACTAAACAGACCTTTTTCAGCTTAGGTTTTCTCTGACAGTACAGTAGGCCAAGATGATGCTATTTGTACTTCATTCTCCTCCCCTGTTTTGATCAGTGAACTAACAAAAAAACATGGAAATCACCATACTTCTAGATCTGGTCTCCTTTCCATGGAAGGGAGATTTGAAACTAATCCCTTTTCTAATTCCTCTTACCTATCTACTTATAACTCACCTTCCAGTTGGTCTTTCCTCATCACTGCAGTAAAAATGATCCTCACAGCCAATTAATTTATTTACACTTCTGGTAGAAGATATGCACACTCTGAAGCTTAAGTCACCAGTAAGATACTACAGTGCACATTTCCAGGCCCACTTTTGATTCAATTGCATTTTAAAAGTCAAGCAAAAATTGTTTTACATCATTCAGATACAACCAGAGAGAAGGTAAGTTTGGAAGGGACCTCTGAAGGTCTCTAACCCAATCTCCTACTCAAAGCAGGGCTAACCTCCAAGTTAGATCAAGTTGCTTAGGGGCTCGTCTAATCAAACTCTGAAGCCTTCCAAGGGCAGACTTGGGCAACTCATTCCTGCAATTAGTCAATTAACAGTGAAGGGTTTTTCTCATTTGTCCAGGTATAATTCCTTAGCTGCAACTTGTTACAGCTGCTCATCCTCAAACTTTGAGCCTCTCGGCACAGCCCAGCTCCATCTTTTCCATAACCACCCTTTTGGCAGAGAAGGACTGCAATTAGACCCACCTTTGAACTTCTCCAGGGGAAAAAGCAAAACCAAAACCAACAGCAACAAAGATTGAGATCCTTTAGCCCCTCATGCCATACATGCCAGTTCCCTAAGCATCTCAGCAGCCCTCCCCTCACCTCTCCAGTCTGTCATCAGTTTTGCTTGTGTGGGGGCCCCAAACCAAAACGATTACTGCCCAGCACCAGGCCAGCCTCCACCATCACATGTGCACTGCTGAAACACAGACAGCCTC